GTGTGTGTGGTGTGTGTGGGGTGTGTGTGTGTGTGTGGTGTGTGTGTGTTGTAATGTAAAGTATAAACAATAATCACATAGAATAAAACTGTTTTTTTTTTTAATAATTTTGACTTTATTTATTTCTAACAAATTTTCTCCAATTTTTTTTTTTTTTTTAAAAGTTTATAGAAAGAACCTCAAAACAAATTTTGACTACGTATCTGTTCTACACTTTAAAGAGAAGGGCCCCCAAACCTTTTTGTTGCATTTTTGTTAGGGAGCATTTGAATTTCCCAAATCTGAGAAAATAAAAGACAGCTACAAAGCTTTTGAAAATAATTTGTGGTCCCCTCCCCTTTTTGGATGCCAAAGCACGTGGGGGTGGTTTAATTTTTAAACCCCCGCCCTGCAAACGGGTTGGGCATATGAAACTTTTCTTTATTATTGTTCCCACTCGACCCCATTATTTAATTAAAAAAGCTAAGGTGGGCGTGCGACATAAAGGGAAAATTGAGGGGGGGAAGGCAGCCCATTTACAAATGTTATCGGGAGGATCGGGAGGTTCAATGACCTATGTCTGTTTAAGGGATAATTTAATAATGATAATAATGTTCTTAATTGTAAATTAAATATAAAAACTAAATGGAAAATAATATGATTTGTATAAACAAACAGCGTGATACTTCTATAAATTGTTGGCGAGGGGAGGATGGGTTAAACTAACTTACACGCCCCTTCCCCCAGTTGTCCCGACGCCCATGAACTCCGGCATTTATATTGTGGTTGGCTAAACAAAAGTTATCGGTGCATTGCCGCGCATAAACACACATGAGCTTAATATTTCGGGCAGTTTCTGTATGGTGCGTTGTCTAGAATTTCAACGGTTCTCAAAATTGTCCGTAACCTGTATTCATTTACTATAATTCTTTCAAACGGATATACGCTCAGATATGAGTAACAGGACAGTAGTCTCAAGCGGCGTCTTCGTGGGGAGAAACACTTTGTGCTCCAGAGCTCGAGGTGGTTGTATAACGGCTCCTGTGTGTGGATACAATTTATTTTTTGTTTTTTTTTTTACCATATTTGTAACTACAAAACTGTAAGTGGAGTTGGACAAATTGATTTTATTGTTAGTTCTTAAGTCGCGAAGTGAGTGAATTTTATGGCGGTACCCAATAGCGGCATACTTTTTTTAAAGGCAACATTGTTTCAGCGCTTTTACAGTAGACACTTTATGGTGCATACCGGCACCTTTTTTTATAGACACTTTTTAGTTAGTACCGGTAATTTTAATACTAGAAATAAAATAAACGTGTCTGCTGTAGTTACAAACTTGACAGTTCCACCCAGCCTCATTTCTTTGATTTTCAAAGTGTTATTGACGGCTAAGCCCCCTATTTGACATTGTCATCGTGGACCTGAATTGCATTATATATTATGAAATAATCAGAAGTAAAAAAAAAAATTAAAAAAAAATATCTAGTGTATGAAGATAAACGCAACATCTTTACAACCAAATGACATCCCAGGAGAATTAAATAGGAGATTCTTGCTATACTTACTATTGTTTATACTGAACAATGTTTATCCAAATCATGGATACATGACACTTATCACATATAGCAGAAAGTGATATCCATAATTTATTTGCCAAACTTAAAGAAAAGAAAAACTGAAACATGCGACAACTGAAAAGAACTAGAAATAGAAATGGGGAATTATTTTAATATACATATTTTTTGGACTTTTGCCAATGCATTGAAAGCTATCAGCGCCGTGAACCAAGCTGTTGGAGATCGCAAGACACGGAATATATATATATATATATATATATATATATATATATATATATATATATATATAAAACGGTAGCTAAGTAAAACTGGTTGAGAACCGCTAAATTAAATCTGCCGGGTCAGATCTAACAGGCCAAGTTCAAGGTCCCTTGATTCCGGCTCAGCAAATACGAACTGAGTCAGACAACCGTTTTCGAACATTTAGAACACAGTTTTTTGGGTACTAATCTACTTTATCTGAACAACCATGGCTTTCCCAACTAGCCGGCAGAGTCGCTGTTGTTACTGCGTTCCAGTTCTGGTTTAGGAGAGCCCCAGCCATCGCTATTTTTGTTTGTTTCCATCACAAGCCGCGAAAGTGACCCTCTGTGGTCGCAATGAAGACAGGCTGAAGTTGGCGTTGGAGAAGGTTGTGAAGGCCAGCGGTGGACACCAGGACCGGTTTCTTATTGTGCAAGCTGACCTGAATGATAGCAACGCTCGTAAACAGATCATTTCTAAAACTGTGGAGAAGTTTGGTCGTTTAGATATCCTTGTTCCTAATGCCGGTGTTATGCATCAAAACCAGTCTATCACAACAGCCACAGAGGAAGTATATGATGATATCATGAACACTAACCTGAAATCTGTGTTTTTTCTCATTCAAGATGCTATTCCACATTTGGAGAAGACGAAGGGAAGCATAATAAACGTGTCTGCTGCAGTTACGAACGTAGCTGTTCCACCTATCGTCATTTCTTTGATTTCAAAAGTTGCTCTCGACCACCTAACCAAATGTCTGGCTGTAGACCTGGGTCAGAAAGGCATTCGTGTGAATTCAGTCAATCCTGGATATCTTCCAACTCGGATGATGGAGCAGTTTGGCGAAGGGAACAAATCGGCTCCTTCAGGGAGGCTAGGGACTGTCGAAGATGTGGCAAAGGCGGCTCTGTTCTTAGCGTCTGATTCTGCGGGGTTTATCACTGGTGAACTTATCAGGGTAGATGGTGGAGGCAATCTGGCTGGCAAATTTGGGGATTCACTTCTGAAAAATTAAGCTGAATTATGTAATTACTTAGACGTTGTAATCATTAGATTTTTTTTTTTCTAAGTGAAAAATGTATGTGGGACCTGCCTTGTTTTATATAAATTGACAATTGGATGAATCATCAATTATAATTCAAAATACTAATATTTAACAAACAAGCAGATGTGGAGGGAATCTGGCTGGCAAATTTGAGGATTCACTTCTGAAAAATTAAGCTGAAATATATATTTACAAGGCGTTGTAATCATCAGGTTTTTTGGGGTTTTGTTTTGAAAAAAAAAAAAATAATTATTGTGTGACCTACCTTGTTTTATATAAATTTACCATTTAAATGAATCATAAATCACAAATCCAGATATTCATATCTAACTACCAAGTGCATGTGGAGGCAATCTGGCTGGCAAATTTGGGGATTCACTTCTAAAAATTGAACTGAATTATACATTGACTAGGAGTTGACATAATTGTGTTATTTGTGAAGCTTTAGAAAAAAAGCAGTCGTAAACTGTTTTGTTATATTTGTATTTTCCATTGGATGAATAACTATTCTAAATAGTTATATTTAACAAGAAAGGAAATAAATATGATTTATACACCATATATTTTTGATTTCAAGAATTTTTTTTTTTTTTTTGTCTAGAGAAAATGTGCCAGTGGTCACCACAAAGTGTCTAAGAAAGTACTAGTACTCCCCAAATTATGTATTACAGTAGCCCTCAAAACAAAGATGCTTAAACAAATTTCCTGGTAATGTGTTCTAACATGTGCCACCAAAAACAATAAAACGCCTTAAACAGCACATAGGCTTAAAAACTGTTTATCTCAGTTTTCAGTGGCTACATTGTCTGTAAGGTGACCACAGACTTGAATAGCTACATTATGTATCAGATAATCACATTGATGATTGCCTTTTTGTCTGAAGGTAAACATAACTTTTGGTGTCTGCCTTATCTATAACTGTTGTCAGTGGCTGTGTTCTCTATAAGGTAATAAGTGGCCTGGCTTGTCATAAGGTAATCACAGTTTTGATTGACTTTATTGTCTATAAGATAATAAGTAGCTTTATTGTTTATAAGGTAATAAGAATTGTAAGGCGCTTCATTATCATTATCACAGTTTTAATGACTTTATTATCTATACTGTAAACAGTGTTGTGAGTGACTTTATATCTGTGAGGTAATCACAGTTTTTAATGGTTGCATTATGTGTAAGGTAATCAAATTAATCCGGGCCTTTTTTTTTTATAGTTTGGATATGACTGTATTTACAATCTGTAAACATATCCTTAGAAATACTTTTTTTTTTTGTTATTAGAAATAGTCAGTGATGTACATCTCTTTCTGTCGAATTAGATTATTGGCAGTATCAGCTGATAGAAAAACATGTATTAAATTTTTCTGTTGCATCTAAGGTTTAGTGATAGATTGAATAATGACATCACAGCACACTGGTAAATCACATAGATGCTCTGTCCCCTGCAGCTGCTGTTGTAAAGCGTAGATCTGATTTAATCTTTAGCACAGTGGTTATAAACATGACATGTTCTTCCTCGCATACATTTCTCGTTACCAAAACTACTACCCAAAACAAAATAAACTGCTATTGCTGCCTGTGTTAACAATGTTGTAGTATAGGTAGAGGGATCTTTGAGCCTGAGGATTAAGGACCACATTGCTACTGCTGTCACCACAGGCTGTGCAGGATTTAATTGTTGCTCCTAACTGAAAAAATCCCCAACCTGCCAAGGCTTTGAACCCAGCTTTTTTTAAATTAATGCCAACTCTGAATTCTGTATCTCTGAATATGTTGTTTCATTTGACATTGTACCATCAGCTTGTGTTTTTTCACAAATATTTGTTTATGATGTTTACCTGACCCATTATGTGTGTGTTTCCACATCTAGGGGTGATGTATGTAATAACTGTGCAGCTATGAGCTCTATGTGACATTTCCTGGCACAGTAGAATAATGATGTTGATGATGATAATGATGAAATTGATGTCCTTGTTTGCAGGAAGTTAAAATAGAAACTGTGATAAATATAAATAAAGAATGCAAAAAAGTACAGGTGGTGTGTCGAGTGATCATGTCTGGAATAGTGCATAAACATAGACAGTGTGTCGAGTGATCATGTCTGGAATAGTGCATAAACATAGACAGTGTGTTGAGTGATCATGTCTGGAATAGTGCATAAACATAGACAGTGTGTTGAGTGATCATGTCTGGAATAGTGCATAAACATAGACAGTGTGTTGAGTGATCATGTCTGGAATAGTTCATAAACATAGACAGTGTGTCGAGTGATCATGTCTGGAATAGTGCATAAACATAGACAGTGTGTCGAGTGATCATGTCTGGAATAGTGCATAAACATAGACAGTGTGTTTAGTGATCATGTCTGGAATAGTGCATAAACATAGACAGTGTGTCGAGTGATCATGTCTGAAATAGTGCATAAACATAGACAGTGTGTTGAGTGATCATGTCTGGAATATTGCATAAACATAGACAGTGTGTCGAGTGATCATGTCTGGAATAGTGCATAAACATAGACAGTGTGTTTAGTGATCATGTCTGGAATAGTGCATAAACATAGACAGTGTGTTGAGTGATCATGTCTGGAATAGTGCATAAACATAGACAGTGTGTTGAGTGATCATGTCTGGAATAGTGCATAAACATAGACAGTGTGTCGAGTGATCATGTCTGGAATAGTGCATAAACATAGACAGTGTGTTGAGTGATCATGTCTGGAATAGTGCATAAACATAGACAGTGTGTCGAGTGATCATGTCTGGAATAGTGCATAAACATAGACAGTGTGTTGAGTGATTATATGTGGAGTATATTAAGTGAATGCAAAATAATAGACAGCGTGTTAAGTGATTATATGTAGAATAAAATGACTGGATGCAACAACACAATATGTTGAGTGATTGTGTGTAGAATATAATGAATAGATGCAATAACACAGTATGTTGAGTAATTATGTGTAGAATTTAATGAGTCAATGCAAAATAATAGACAGTGCAAAATAATTGACAGTATATAGCGTGATTATGTGTAGAATATAATGACTGGATGTAACAATACAGTATGTTGAGTGATTATGTGTAGAATATAATTACTTGATGCAACAACACAGTATGTTGAGTGATTATGTGTAGAATATAATTACTTGATGCAACAACACAGTATGTTGAGTGATTATGTGTAGAATATAATTACTTGATGCAACAACACAGTATGTTGAGTGATTATGTGTAGAATATAATGATTGGATGCAATAATACAGTATGTTGAGTGATTATGTGTAGAAAATAATTACTGGATGCAATAACACAGTATGTTGAGTGATTATGTGTAGAATATAATGATTGGATGCAACAACACAGTATGTTGAGTGATTATGTGTAGAATATAATGACTAGATGCAACAGCACCTATTGTTGAGTAATTATGTGTAGAATTCAAAATGGAACGAGAGAGACTGTGTGTTGAGTGATTATATGCAGAATAAAATGAGTGAATGCAAAGAATTAGACAGTGTGTTGAGTGATTATATGTCAAATATAATGACTGGAGGCAATACTACAGTATGTTGAGTGATTGTGTGTAGAGTATAATAACTGGATGCACCAACCCAGTATGCTGAGTGAATACAACAGACAGACAGTATGTTGAGTGATTAAGTGTAAAATGTAATGACTTGATGCAGCAGCAGAGTATGTCGAGTAATTATGTGGAGAATGTGATGAATGAGTGTAATGACTCAGACAGTGTGTTGAGTGATTATGTGTAGAATATAATGATTGAATGCAATAACAGAGTATGTTGAGTGATTAAGTGTAGAATATAATGAGTGAATGCAATGACAGAGACAGTGTGTTGAGTAATTATATGTAGAATATAATGACTGGATGCAACAACACAGTATATTGAGTGATTATGTGTAGAATATAATGACTGGATGCAACAACACAGTATGTTGAGTGATTATGTGTAGAATATAATGACTTGATGCAACAACACAGTATGTTAAGTGATTATGGGTAAAATATAACGAGTCAGTGCAAGGACACAGAGTGAGTTGAGTGTTCATTACTAGAATATAATGAGTGAATGCAACAACACAGAAAGTATGTTAGTGATCATGTCTGGATACAATGAGTGAATGCAGCGATACAGAATGTGTTAAGTGGTCATCCCTAGAATATATATAATAAATAAATGCAAGAACACAGACAGTGTATTGAATGATCGTATCTGGAATGTAATGACTGATTCCAAACAACAGACAGTATTTTCACTGAACATCTAAGATGGATATGTGTGAATGCAACAACATAGACAGTATATCTTTATACCCAATACCCACACTGCCAGATTCTCAAGATTGCTTCGCAAGGGCATTTTGCCACAGCCAGCAAGTTAAATGAATATTACATTAGAGCTACATAAGACCAGCCTGATTTACACTGATGAATCTCTGAAGCTACTATGATTGTCTGACATGGGAGTAAAGCTTTGGGAAGTACCTCAATGCCGTCTTTGACGCCAAGACAGGAAACACTTTAACCAGCTTTTCATGTGGACAATCAGTAGAGTATCCTGGGACTGGCTGCTGCATTGGAGGACTGAGCACACATAGTAATGTCCAGTGTACCATAAAGTAGATTGTAATAACAGAACATAACATAAATGAGCAAATATAAAGAACGAAAATGAGAGAACATTGTAAACATGGGTGCTTTATTAATTGCCTACCCCAAACAGGGAAAATCCACAGGTCATGGGACAGTCTAATATTTCAGGGGGTGGTAGACAGGCTGCATGCAGTCGTTGGACCTAGGCTGCATGCAGTCGTGAGTCCTAGGCTGCACTCTCTCGTGGGACATAAGTGAGTTGAGGTTAGGCCCATTTCTAGAAGTTTTGGGGTCGTTAAAAGCATCAGAAAGCCAGGAAACTCAGTCTTAGGACTCTCTAAAATGTTGGACTGTCCTGTGACGTCATCTGGGGGTAGGATATTAATAAAGCACCTAAACATGGTCTCAGACTGCTAAAGAATGTGTCCAGTCGCCTCAAGATATTTTTTTATCTTCTGTAATAGCTTTTGTTCACATTCCATCTTCTGGATTAAAACTAGGAAAAGAACGACGTTTCTCCCACGGAGTGCATCGTTGAACCTCTACGATCGCTAATTCCCAAGGACTAAGGCTTAGACTGATCAAGACCTAGCTTCACCTCATGTAGTCATCTTTGAAATAGGTTCCTTACCATAGGATTGGCCGTCATAGGTAGTTCAAAGTCAGAACACATCTGCTTGAGGGGCAAGGCATCAGTTGTCTGCAGAAGAATAAGCTAGGGATATAAAAACAGATATGCATACACAGCACATGTTTAAAGACGACTTAAGCCCAGACATGGACAAACATCAACGACTCTCCTCCAGAGTTCACAACCGGTGAATGCATAAGCAGAAGATATATATATATATAATTTTGGCCCTTTCTGCACCACTTCATTCTTTGGTTAGACGAGCCTCCTGTCATCATGTTTGGCTAGGTATTGCATGTTACTGTGTTATGGATGGTTACGTTTGTGTGTGTGGCTATTGTGTTTTAGGGATGAGGTAACCATTCCTAAGTCCAAACCTACCTTTAGTCGCTTCTTAGGACATGCTTGGCATGATGTCCATTGTTATAATTATTGTAGTAAAACATGTAATCTTCTTCTTCTTTACGAAAAGTTGTCGTTTACAGTTAGGTTATGATATACTTGTCAGCGTCTGTGGCCTAGGTGTTGCGAACGCGCTTGGGGGTGTAGGGTTCGATCCCAGGTGCAGACGATTTGTCTCGCTTTGGTTTCGACAGTGGTACCGAGAGCTGACCGTCCAGGAAACAATGGCAAACTACTAAAAAAAATTGCCTATAAAAACCACAATAGCCGCACAAAAAAATGCTGGGGTTGGTTCTGCAACGTCATGTAAAGGATAGGCAACTAACTTTTTTTAAAAAACGAAATTCTTACCGTTCAGCCTAACACATTAATTTATTTGTTTTTAAGGGGCTACCCCTTCCCGAATCCTCCATTCTCACAGCTGTGAAAGGGTCGACAAGCACGATGTGTTGTGGTTTACATTTAAGCTACGATATTTGTACCTCTCAGTTCAATACATCTGATCTCTGTTTTCAGCAAGTGGTTAAACAGTCATCTTTTACTTTTTGCTTGTTATGGGACAGTTAGTCAAAGTCCCCCACCCCTTCCCCCTCCCCCCAGCCTCCACTTCTATTGCCCCATAAAGCCCCCGGAACCCGTATATGATGAACATATATAATGAATGCACTCGGCAAAAAACTAAGTATCTATTCACCACCGACCGAGATTCCTGATTTCTTTAATTCCTCATTATCATTGGCCTCAGGAGGGCTAATAAGAGTCCAGTTGTTGGGACATATAGAGAGAAATGTAGACAGCGTAGAGACAAAAACTGCGTACACGAAACAGCTAACTTTGAGTAGACCACGAGACAAACTAATAATACGTCTGAGCATCACCGGCGACTAGGTCGCTCATTGGCTAATCGGTAGACGACTTCGTCGCCGATCAGGACATTATGTTGGGCTGTTCTCCTTTGATCGCATCAACACTTCAGGAGTCTTTTTCGGGGCTTATGGTGGCGTGATAACATCCCCCCCCCCTTGCTGCCTTGCAGGGTGTCTCTTTAGACAAAGGCTATTGGAGTCAAACCATATATACAAACCGGCGGAAGGCAAGGGAAAATCACCGCTGTACTTTCCCAAGAAAATCATGCCTCAAAATAATGCATGGCATGGAGGTGTGTCCGCACACGAACTGATACATGCTGCAGGAGATCGCAGATTATGGAGAGGCATGATCGCCCACGCCAGTCGGCAAGGCACCTGATGATGATGGTGGTGGTGGCGTGCTATGCTAAGCCATTTTATGTTGTGCACATAACCCAGTCATAATTATTTCATGTGCTGATGAAGGCTCCATAGCCGCAACGTTCACGTTTTGTTTGTATTTGTTATATTGTGAAGCTTGTTAATATACTTTTCGTTCGGTTTGATATCTTTTCTTAATTATAAGTAAAACTCTTAGCTCAGAGATGCTTGTTGGTTTAAAGGTGACGACTATTTTTTCAACAAAGCAAGCCAAGCCGAGAAGACGGTTGAAAGATAATATTTTGACATAATGACGTCAACTGGAAATTGAAAGCCAGTCATCGTGTTATCTACAGGGAACAACCCAACGGCTCGGAGTGTTGAAGAAGAAGGAAGAAGGGGTTGGAGGGGGAGGGGGCAGAAGAACATTCGTTAAAGAAGAAAGAAAGGGGTGGAAGAAGAACATTCGTTTTAATACAACGACCACGTATAGAAACACCTGGCCACACGAAGCAGACGACAGGGTTTAATATATATTATGCACACTTATGTTTTTGTAAACTAAGACTGGTTTAACGTGCTGTTTGAAATCAATACATCACTCCACACTATTAAAGTGACCTTTTTATTGTTTATTTTATTGTTTAAAAATTTATTACTCTATCACGTAAAGAACGGCGGCCATAGTTATATTCTAAAATATTCGCAGTCAATCAGCGGTTGAGCAAGCTGCCTAACTGAACTACAGTTATTTACTGTGTTTGCACTTCCTTGCCAGAAGCTAAGTTTTAATTCAGTAGCTACAGTTTTGTGAAACTAGAGACTAAATATCGTTGCCTACATCTGCAAGTTTGGCATACAATTCTTATATAATGGCATCAAATTTCACAGACAAAGTGGCCATTGTAACGGGGTCCAGTTCAGGAATCGGCGAAGCTATAGCTTTAGCCTTTGCATCTCGTGGAGCAAAAGTTACCCTGTGTGGTCGCGATTCTCAAAGATTAGACGCAGTGTGTTCTCAAGCTGTAGAAATCAGCGGTGGTCAACGGGACAGATTTCTTACGTTTGAAGGCGATCTAAATGATTCAGGTGTTCGGAGACGTATAATTGAAAAGACAGTTGACAAGTTTGGGCGTTTAGATATTCTCGTCGCCAGTGCTGGGATATCAGATACTCAGATGTCGATACTCAATGCTACAGAAGAAAGTTATGACGCTGTGATGAATACCAATCTGAAATCGATTTTTTTCCTTATTCAGCAAGCGATTCCACATCTGGAGAAGTCCAAAGGAAATATTGTTACTATCTCATCAAACGTATCTTCAATGGTTCTACCTATCACAGCAGTCTATTCCATGTCTAAAGTAGCACTGGATCATCTAACCCGCTGCCTTGCAGTAGAACTGGGACAGAAAGGGATTCGTGTCAATGGAGTGAATCCAGGCTACATTCCTAGCAGAATCATGCGGTGTTTTGGTGAGAAGATCGAATTACTGAAAGAAATGGGGAAATTAGACGCCAACAAGGTGCCTTTGAAAGACAGAGTCCTGACTGCTGAGGATGTAGCGGAAACGGTGGTGTTTCTGAGCTGTGAGACAGCCAAGTTCATCACGGGCGAAACCGTCAAAATCGATGGAGGGAGGAGTTTAACTGGGCCACTTGACATTTCTGATTATGTAGATTTGTTATAACTTCCTCACTTTTCCTTTGATTGTGGAGGATTGTAGTTTTAATTTGTTTAGTGGTAACAATGCACTCACTTGTTAATCTTTTTTATTTAACATTGTTATACTGCTGTATTTATTGTCTACGTCACCATTGTCACCACTACTACAGCCCCTATTACAACTACTACTGCTGCTGCTACAGTTGCTGCCTCTAGAAATATTGTTTCCAAAACAACTACTGCGGCAATTCTTTCTTAACACCACTGCTGCTACCACGATAACACTAATTATATTCTTGTAATGTAATTATTGATACTGGCCACTGCATGCCTCATTTCGGTTGTTACTGACAATATTATATCAATGGCAATTAATTACATACGTCTCCACTCCTTTTTATTCATTAACTCTTCGAGTAGCAGTTTGCGTCTTATAATTGCTAGTCGTTGCATTTTTCTTCATATGTAGACTAAAAGGATGCTGTTCCGACGCCCAGTTGCTCTGAGTGCATGCTGCCGAATTCATTTCGACAGGTTTTCAACTGTTCCAAAAGTGGTGTTGTGAAATGCAGATAAAAAAAAAAAAATCACCTATGACCTGATTCCAAAGACCTGGTGGTTCTTATGTATTTAAATTGCGTGTGCAACTACTGCTCCTTGGTAACTGCCGCTTCCAAAGGCAGTAAACTGCATTACTAGCGATAGACTATTTATGTTGGCAGTTTTTAGGGCTTATATAATGAGTACGTTTACATGCTTTTGACTTTTACCGAGACTGCCGTCTATGACACTTTTTTTTCGCTTTTCACGATAGACAGTGATGGACATATTATATTGGTTTCGTTGGGACAGGAACGGAGCAACTATGAGAGTTTGCTATCGAGTAGGAGCAACGAGTGCCGGTATATCTGTAGAAATTAACTCATTGGGCATTTTCTGTTTACATTAACTCTTCTTAACTCTTTATTTATCACCCCCATCCCCTAACCTCATATTCTGTATATTAGCTCAGCCTATACAAATGGTCACTTTACACACTGTTGTATAATAGCGCAATTTTGTGAACCAACCAAGATTCTTCCTATTCTTATAGTCCACGCCGGGTGGCGTTGGTAGTCATGTCTATCCACTCCCTTTTATGTCGTGTGCCTTCAGTCATTTCTGGCACAGATAATGGTTCAAACTTTGTGGCGTTAATAGTAATGTCTATCCACACTCTTCTGTGTCTTGTACCTTCAATAAATTCTGGCACAGATAATCGTTTATACTTTGTGGCGTTGGTAGTCATGTCTATCCACACCCTTCTGTTTCGTGCACCTTCAATCAGTTCTGGCACAGAGAAAGGTTCAAACTTTGTGGCGTTAGTGGTCATGTCTATACACACCCTTCTGTGTCGTGCACCTTCAACCAATTCTGGCACAGATAAACGTTCAAACTTTGTGGCGTTGGTAGTCATGTCTATCCACACCCTTCTGTTTCGTGCACCTTCAATCAGTTCTGGCACAGAGAAAGGTTCAAACTTTGTGGCGTTGGTGGTCATGTCTATCCACACCCTTCTGTGTCTTGCACCTTCAATAAATTTTGGCACAGATAAACGTTCAAACTTTGTGGCGTTGGTAGTCATGTCTATCCACACCCTTCTGTGTCGTGCACCTTCAATCAGTTCTGGCACAGAGAATGGTTCAAACTTTGTGGCGTTGGTAGTCATGTCTATTCACCACCTTCTGTCGCGTGTTCTTTCACTCTATTCCGAGCAGACAATCCTCTCTACCTAGTGGCAGTCGCAGTCATGTCTATCCACACCTTCAGTCACGTGTACTTTCAGACTTTCAGTCAATTTTGAGCAGATTATCTTCCTTGGTAATCTTAGTTTCAGCTTCATTGAAAACGGGTCACCTTATATATGCTCCGCCCCTGTGCAAAAAAAAAAAAAAAAAAGACTAGAATGTTTATCACAGTCCCTAGTGGAAAGGTTGAGAGACTGCTGTCTTGGCATATGCACTAGCATACACACACATTAAAAGCCAACAGTAGGCCAACACAAACAGTCCGACATTAGAAATACAGTTCATCATCGATGGTCGGAGAAGTCACCAACAGATCAGCAGTTGCACACGCAATCAGTTTTGAGATCGCAATATTGCGACAACAGGCATCGCGCCATTTTCTGAATCTACAATTCACACCACCACGTTGGTCACAGTCGAAAGACATTCCGAATAAAATCCGCAACTCACAGGGTCGCCCACCAGCAAAGACTATGGATCTGGCCCAAGGAAGCCACATCGCAAGAGAAGCTATGGGAGACCGGTGGCGACCTTAAACGCCCCTTCCTATTTGTGACCCAGACGGGACTCAATGTTTAGTATGACTGATGTCCAAGGCAGAAGAAGAAGAAGAAGTGTTCCTCCATTCATTCAACTTAGAAGCTGGGTAACGAAACTATTTCCTTTCAGTCTACAAATGGAGCAAAAATGCAATGACCACCGTCTGGCAGAAAGAAACAAATTTGTTACGACTCAAAACAGTGACTGTGGATAGCGTCCATTTTAACCGGTCCCTACCTAGTGGCGGTCGTAGTCATGTCTAACCATAACATTTTGTATCGTGTACTTCTAATTAGTTCTGGCACAAATGATCTTCCATGATATAATGTTGAACTTGTCCAGCATCTTCTCTCTCGGTCAGTGAGATTCAGATATTTTTCAGATGAGGAAACAGATAGTTGTCAAAATAATTAACGTTTGAAAAAACAAAAACAGTGTATGAATGTATATGAGAACTGTCTACGCGTAAGAGATGCCTATGGGTAGGGACAACCCTGAATGAGGGTGGTTAAATAATATTCAGGCAGATCTTGAAACAATTGGAGTCAGCGACTGGAGAGAAAAGGCCAACCAGAACTGAGGCGGGTGACATTTGCAGCACAGAACCTCACGTGGTCGGAATGCTACAGAAGAAGAAGAAGAAGAAGAAGAAGAAGAAGAAGAAGAAGAAGAAGAAGAAGAAGAAGAAGAAGAAGAAGAAGAAGAAGAAGAAGAAGAAGAAGAAGAAGAAGAACAAGAACAAGAAGAAGAAGAAGAAGAAGAAGAAGAAGAAGAAGAAAAAGAAGAAAAAAAAAAGAAGAAGGGACAAACTTTATTTTCAAAGGGTTACAAATTAGGCATGCAGGCCCGTCTGACATCAGCCCTTCCAAGCACTCATCTTTAAGAGTCATCGTCATCATGTAGCAGGTCCTTTGCCGAACGTCGCTCTCACCACAGTCTGCCTGAAAGAAACTCCGTCTCTCGCCAGCTCTCCCGTCTCATGCACTTTCATACTCAAGGAGTCACTTATATCCTGTGCCCATCTTCGTGTTGGCCGGCCCCTGTCCCTCCTTCCTAGAACCATGCCTTCTGCTATATTTTTTTCATTTTGATATGACCAAATTATTTCAGCTTCCGAGACATGATGCTGTTTATTAGCCAATCTTCCTTGATTTTCAGATCTTTCGAGATGTCAGCATTTCTCCTCTTTTTCGTCCAAGATATTCTGAGAATCTTTCTATAGCATTTCAGCTCAGAAGCCCCTATTTTCTTTCTTAAGGACTGAGAGATAGTCCACGACTCACATTCGTATGTA